TATTGAACATGATTGAACTGAACCTGAACCTGAACTTGACCAAAGTTCGGTTTCAGTTCGGTTCATAGGAACACTAGAATCAATTCTCTGTAATTAATCTGAAATTTTATACAAGATATGAAGAGTATATTGACGATGTAAGAAGAGAAGAGCCTGAGAAATACCAAAGATTTAAGATGTATTTCTCATTTTTGGATGCGTATGTGAGAAGTTACCACAACCTGTTTCATGATGGTTGTTGGTATTATCAAAACAGTTGGGATTTATTGCTATGGAGAAGAAAGCAATATGAAGAGGATTTTGAATACACAATAGAAGTTTTGAATAAAAATTTTAGTCATATCTACCTGTTGGACTATAATGATTTGTTGGATTATGCTGAAAATAATTTAGTATTTTAAATATAATTTTTGTAAATAATTTATTTATATTTATTTTTGTAAATAAACGTGTGATTGTGCATAAAGTTTCTGGTACATTCTATAATTACGTTATAATGAATCTAAAATTAGTAATCTGATTGTATGTGTGTAATTTAGTGTAATTTTCTTTTGTAGATAATCATCTAATCTATAATTAGTAATTTTTATTATGTGATCGACACGGTACAAATACCCACCGATTGCGCCCAATTTTATGTTTCTCATCCTTTCATTGCATGGAAAAACTATGAGGAATATGTGGTTCAAATGATGCTTAGGACATTCCTACGCAGTGACTGATACATAAGATATCCAAGTTTTACTTGGAGAAGCTAGTACTCATGGTTCTTCTGTTGTCAATGTACGAGTGCGAACGGTTGGATCATTTTTTTATTGCTTCAGATGGTCTTTATTAAGTTTTGGCCAGGCTTTCCATCTCGAGAGCAAACGAAAAACTTAGTGTTTGCAATCAATGCACCTTGAGAAAATGTCTCAAAGAACAGATATATTTAGACTTTTTTCTACCATAGAAGAGTAAAAAGCACTCTCAAATGTTAGTCATCTCAGGGGCATACTACATGGTTTTACCGGTTAAAACCTCAGGCTTATAATGCTGAGATGCGACTCAATCCACTGATATTTAGACTTTTGGTAGCTGGATCTGAACTACAAAAGTCAAACTTTTCAATGCTGCGATAAAGTATAGCTTACTGTACGAGCTTAGTGTCTCTAGCTATTTCCTCACTTTGAAAGGCAGTATGAGTTGTTTCTGAGTCGACTTTGTTGCGAGGACAACTCAAACATGCAAACAAGAAAATGCCTTTACGTTGGCTTGTATGACAAGTAGCATTTACATGCGAAACTAAATTTTCTCAACTTTTAATAAAAATTTGTGAGTTTAAAAAAAATATATAAATTCCTGAATGTTGCTTAAGATTTTATTAAAAATTAGCAATTTTCCTGATGGCTAAGGAAACAAAAACCTTGAAAACTTCATGTCTGAGATGCCAAAAACATAAAAGAAAATGTGTAAAATTAAAAAATAATCCAAATGTTTGTGTTAAATGCAATAAAAAAAATCTGCAATGTGTTATCTATTTGTCTAAATACAAAGACCAAAAAATTGTACGTTTAACAAAAGAAATAGAAAAATACAAAAAAAAATATTAGCAAATTAAAAAATAAAATCAAAGAATTAAAGATAAAATTTACAAAATATAATTTGAAAAAGAATAAAGGCAAAACTAATTTATTGGACAAAAGTTTAACTGAAATATGGAATATCTTAGAGTAAAATTAATAAATTTTTATTAAAATAATTAATAATTCTTTATAATATCGATAAATACTTCTCAAATATTCTCTCTATGTTTTCTTTGCCAGATGAATTCTAATAAATGTTTTTCAATCTTGTCTTGATTTTTATTTCTTTTAGCAATTATTGTCTTTAGTCCTGACTATGTTCCCTCAATTGTGTTTGTATGTATTCCAAATATTTCAGACACATTTCTCGAATGATTTACTCTTCTGTGAATAAGATTTAATCCTCCAAGCTGGTAGCCTTTCCATGAATCTGTAAACACAATTGATTCTGGTTTTACATGTTTCTTAATGATTCTTCTTAAAGTTGTTGTATTTCTGTCTTCAACCACAACAAAGAAGCATTTTTGTTCTTTGGTTCTTTCTACACCACCAACTACCCAGAAGTTCTTGTCCCTCTTGAACTTGCTCTCATCGATTTCTATGATGACATCCTTTCCACCGATAAACATGTCATTCTCTTCCAACGTGTTGATAACTAGATCTCTGAATATTTTAGTATAATTTATTATAGTATTGGGCAAATGATTTGTCATAATACTAATAGATGTATAATTGATTTTTGACAACCAAAAATATGCAAGCAACAGTATATCTGAGCTAATAATATGATGTTTAGCAAAGAATGAATCCTTATAGATAGAAACTGCTTTATGACAATCTTGATTTTTACATCTAAACAATTTTTTATTTTGACGTAATTCTGCACCACAATACGAACATTGAGAAGGAGTTTGAATAATATTATTTGAAATTAAATAATTAATACATGTTTTTTCTTTTAATAAAACTTTATAGATTTGTTTAATATTTGGAAAAGACATGATAAAAATATATTTTATTTATAAAATTTTAATACAATAATTTATTTATATATAACAAAAAATAAATTACTTAAATAATCTTTTTAACTGTTTAAATTCAGGATTATCTTTGTTTTTTTGTTCAAAATTTTTAGAAATATTATCATCTATATGCTTGCGTTTCTTAGTATTTTTTGGCATATCTTCAGAAATATCAAGTATAACATCTGATTCGTACAATTCTGATTCTGATAAAAATTCTTCTGGATCTTGTGATTTGTTGTTTAATTCTACGTAATTTGACTGGATAATAGCTTGTTCAAGATCTGCTGATTCTTTTTCTGCTATTAAATTTTTAGTAATGGAATCAACAACTGATTTGCCTTTCTTTTTTTTACGTGTATAATCTGAATCATCAGAATTAATATCTGATAAATCTTCTTCACTTGATTCTTCTTCTTGAACCTGAATATGAGATGTGCTAGATTCAATTTGTGGATTCCAGTTTTCTTCTATATTCATATTAATCTCTTTATTTTTTGTAGTATCAGATTTAAATAATTCTTTATATTTTTGTTATGGTTAATTATTTCAATTTCTTTGCTATTTTTGGCACATAATTTTTCAACAATTGCTAGATAAACTATAATATCTGCTTCCATACCTTCGAAGTTCTCACAATCTGTCAAAATAAATTTTGTTTTATTAAATTTAAACTCTGGATGCCAATAGTATCTGTTACTTTTTTTAAAAAGTAATCCATCTTTTTTTTGTGTTATAGAAATTATTGATTTTTCATCTACTTTGTCATTAAACTCTATCTCAAATTCTTGATTGTTGAAAGAAGCTTTAAAACCCTTATGAAATATTCTTTTTACTTTACAACAAATACATTCGTTTTCACATACTGGTGTCTCATCATCTCTATATTTGTAATATTCAATAACATAATCAAATCTATCTATTAATGCTAAAAAATATTTCCTATTTGTTTTTTTAAATCCTTTTTCTTCTGATATATATTTTTCATTTTCATTAAATCGATACAATTCATCTAATGGCACATTCGAAGTAAAACATTGAATTTTTGGCGCATAATTAATATGTGATCCTTTTACTTGCACACTATATTTACCACGATCTAAAATATTTAATAAATCTTTCCATTTAAAATAATTTCTATCTACCTCATTGATAATTACTTCTTCTTGTCCATTAAAGTTTGGCCACCACTTTGAATCTTCGCTTGGTTTCTCATATGCTTTAGGAAATAGAATATGAAAAAGATATGATTTCCCTGTACGCGGATAACCAAAAACATAAATATTGCAAGATTTCCAACATCTTTCATGATTGTCATTTAAGTTTTCTACTTTTTTTACAGCATTACACATAGTTTCAACAAACTCTGGATTGTTTTTAACCCACTGTTTGTTTTTTTTTGCATATTTGACAAGAATTTGATCTTTAGTAAGCTTCCCATCTAAGATATCTTGAATAACTTCTTCTAAATAATCATCTTCAAGAGTTTTATTTGAATTATTATTCTTTCTAGTTTTTGTAATATTTTTTGCCTTATAAGTTCCAAATTCAAAAGGTTCAGATTCTGAATCATATTTTGCCCAAGTTCTATATTTCTTACAACCTTCATTGCACCATTCACAATGTTTGTCTAGATCAAAATAATCATATCGACAGTGCATAAGTTTGCTTTTTGAATCATTTGGATTAATGGGCTTCTTGTAATGTAATGAGCATTTGTTATAATCTTTTCCAGTATAACGAACAGAGTCTTCAATGCTTACAACACCTTCAAAATGAGGTTTATTCATTTGTAAAAGACCTTTAACACCTAAAGCAATATCTTTTTTTCTATTTTTTTCACCAGCTTTTAAATATTTTCCAATTCTTGTTGCGTCTTTGAGAATTAGAACTCCTTGGATATGTATGTCCATCTGATCTTGTTGGGGATTGTAATTCCTTTCATATTGATATTTGATGTAGCGAAAAGAATTTTTATCACTTTTAAAATACTTTTCTACCAAAGAATTAAACTGTTTCCTATTAAAATGATAAGCTGTGAAATTCAAATATCTATGCTAAGCATTGATATCAAAGGGTTTATTTTGTAATTTAATCACAGACATTTTGGAACAATCACTTTGGTATAATAAAAACAAAAATATCATTCTATTTATACTTTTTAATAAAAATTTGTATGTTCGTATAAATTTTGAATTTAATAAATAAAATTACCAAATGTAGATTCTACATTAGGAAATTACACTAAACTAAGAAATAATAGTGGAATTACCAAAAGTAGATTTCTACCTTTGGAAATAAAAAACAATCTAATTTACACCAAAACGTCTATCTTTTTCTAGTTTTTCCGTAGTAATAACCCACACTTCAACCTAAATTTAGACAACTTTATCACAAGCAAATCACCTTTACGCTTCTAAGTAAACTTTCGGATGTGATATCGGACTATTTGAATCTCAATTTCTAGCCTGTTTCATCAGATATTCGTAGAGATATTCACGTTTTTGTCTTCGATTCGCTCATACGTTTTCGCAAAATTGCCGACGGATTTCAATCGATCAGAAGACCACTTTCTTCAAATGAAGCATGCAAACCGTCAATAATACCAAAGTTGCGCATAATATTCAAGAGTTTGCCTGTGAAATTTGAGCTTTTTTGGATAAAAACTCGTGGAGATATCACCGTTTTACATATCACTTCCGATAGACGTTTCTGCGTTTTGATGAAAGTGATGAAAAAACATGGCACCCCACCCTTGATTTTACAAGTTTAGTCTAAACACATTACCGTGCATTAACAAGGCTTATAGCTAACATATTTGAATTATGCCTGATGAAGTTTGACATATTTTGAGCATAAACTGGTAAAGTTATTTCAATTTTTGAAACAAAACTACT